AGAACTGGTGCCATATTGGAACAGTATGACATGTATGAGATGAGATTATCGCTAAAATTACCTGTCTCAATTGTCTTTTTTTTTATATTATTTTTTTTATTTTGTAATTGTTTGTATTACATTATTTTATAATTATTTAAATTTTATTATCACATTATTGGATCATCATTGAACGATTAGCTGTTTATTTCACCATTGTTTGCTTATTTTGCTACTATTCTTTCATTATTTGATGAATGTTTCACTATTAATTGCTTATTTTGCTATTATTGACAAATTATTTGACCATTATTACACATCTGTCACCGTAACGCCATAAGTTACAGCGTGTCGTAATTTTGCGGTATTTTACGGGGTATTTTCATCCTACCATATTAGGAAACGCGGATTCCAAATATGGAATGATTACGCGCGTAAGCGTTCTCTAATATTAAAAACAAACATGGCTGCCACCAGGGTTTAACCGGATTCCATACAAAGAAGTTCGCTGATTCTGTTCTAAACTTTTTGGAATTCGGCATTCCCATGATGTATCCGTAGAAGGAAAAGATGTATAATAATAAGGTTATTATGAGGATACCTCAGACAGTACGCTGTCGCATCGACCGCTGTACTGTCTTCGTGCATACTTTGAGGTATCTTCGTAATAACCTTATGTTATTTGCACATTCCAATATTTTTACCGCATTATTTCATTATTATTTGGTCGTTATTTAACCCTTTATTCGATTATATCACATTATCTCAACATAACACACAGATATTTTATTAATATTACCACATTATTTCACAAATATTATGTTACTATTTGTTTGTTTTTTGCTTAACAGGTACGTGCAGATAGAAACAGAGACAAGAATGTACACCAGTCAATCTTACATACATAACACCACACATGAACTACGGGAAGCTATAGTTCATTAGGTACAACATCATTTATGCTTGGTGTGGTTCTTGCCTGTATCAGCACTCATCAGACTGGGAAGTCCAGTATGCCATTTATTACATGCCTTCATCCGCTCGCCAATCAAACATACACTTTAGAATAGGAACATCCGGGGATTGTTGCGGTCCAGTGGGTCATGTACGGACCGTCGTCAATACCAACAGAGAGGTGCAATCATCAAAGAAATTCCCGGAACTACTTTCGTTTGCTTGGATAAAATGTATAAAAAATAAAAAAGAACGATCACGATGATGATAATATTCAATATTTTAATAAAAGTTTGCAACCATACACGAATCCAATTTTACAACAATACATGTAAAAACAACTCACACCGGATACATAAGCTTCCGGGCTAGATTTAACATGCGTGGAGTGATAGCGTTTCAAACTACACTTCATGTTGGCAGGGGAACCTGGCTCATATTCGTCTCCGTCCTTCTTCTTTATGCTGATGAAAAATTTTGCCAAGAAGTTCATTCAACACGAGACGCCGCAATTACCCGGTATTCTGAGTTAGCCACGTTCGGTGGTTTTAATGGTGCTTTATAATTATAAGTAATTTATTTATTTGATTTATTCAATTATAATGGGGTAGCTTATCATAACCACGATATTTATATTATAATAAGTCACGTGTTCACGAGCAGCCAGCGGAAGTCCCTAATTGTCACAAACGCTCAACAAATATATTTGTGTTGTGTAAGCATCCTAGTCATTATGATCTATGATCACTCATGAGCGAATTGCTCTACTAGTTCGACGCACTGAAATTCACTTGTTGGCATAACCAATTACCAACACATTTGAATCGATGCATTAGAACATTGGTTATGGACACCACAACGATTCAACTATTCCAGTAAATTGACATGTATGGTTCAATATCTTTAAATACCTATTATTATGATTTATAGGGAATACTACTTTCTACTCGATAAAGTCGCGAGCATTTCTGTAATCACACCACACAATTGAACATATTGTGATGTTCGCCCATAATTGATATGATCTAAATCATAAATATTTGATGTGTTTATCTGAAAATTGCTATAGAACACTATAAATACTCGTATGCTAAATTAAACTAATCGATCCAATTTGTGGAATACGAATAAACCAAAAAAAGTCGAGTTGGTCACAGATGAGTAAAATAACCCAGCTTTTAGCCTGGTTGTCAATGGGTCTTATCGTTTAATGATCTATATACAAGGTTTCGTGGTTGGTATAATGGCTAAGTGTGCCCTGACGTCTTATGATGGGGAAGCACTGTTAACTTTGAACATGATCGGTTGGTTAATTAGCATATTTAGGCTCAGAAAAATTGCCGTAATCGCACTATTTGCTTGATATTCGTTTATATAATTTTCAAAATATAGAAAAAAATTCGGTAGATCAAAAAATCGCATAACTTTGCCTCAAAAAAAAAACTATTCGCATACCTCGTGTCCAGCAAAAGAATGGGACATTTTATCATCAATTTGATTATGATATTTAAGTATTTAATATCAGACTAGTAATACTAGTCTGTGATTAAATGCACTCGTCTTGTTTTGTTTTGTTTTGTTGAATTTTTTTATGTAAGTGATAAACTAAAGTAAGTTTAGTGGTGTGATGAGAGCAACTACAATTGTGGTTCAATTCGTCAGTTGTGCGTTATATTTGCGAGTGACATCTGCAATGTGACGTATTTATGCAAATTACATACGTGAAGACACGTCAACATTCTACTCATGCGCAGACAGCCGTGTTTCGTGATAAACATAACAACATGGGAAATCGGGAAAATTAAATACTATATGCGAATGTTCATGAATGCGGATTATAAACATCATGTAGAATGCAGCAATGATTTAACGTCGAATTAGAGAAAACTATTTTTTTAAATAAAGTCTTTGTTCAGACGTGTAGTGACGCAAATTATTTGCATGTACATAACGTTGTGTTCTCCTCTGATGTCACGGTATGAAACAAACATGTGTTTTTTGTCGTTACAATTGTTTGTAATATCCCTTGTTTTTGTATCATTTGATGACAAATATCATACAATTTGTTGTGAGATTTGTTTCAGCGATGCATGTGTTGCACTTTCGACCGTGCACACAGAAAGATTTAAATTTTGATGTCGTATTGTCTTTATTCAATATAATCCAGTTAAAGCGGGGGAGTCGTCATTTGCACATGCGTCTGATGGCCATCTTGATATCCGGCGGTTCATAGTGACGACGCGTTGGATACAACCACGTGATTGTGAAATATGAAATAAAATACGCAAACCTCGCAAACATATCCCATAATACCAAAAACTGTTAACATGGGGGAAAATACAACGTTTCAATATAAAACAAAAAGAACAAATTTCCTAATTTGTAAAATATTGTCTGATTAAAATTTAAAAGAATATATGGCGTGTCATGAAATATAATACAAATATTGTTGCTGTTGAGATGCCATGATATGATGGTAGGGTTCAGCGACGAAGAATGATAATTTAATTAGATGGTAGGAAGCGCATCGTTTGGTTAGCTGAGTAGGTTTACTTACAAATGTGTACTCCTGTTTTTGCTGGTAGTCGGTTTTTAGCTTAATTAGAAAGTAACAGACAATTGCAATATCCGTTCTGTCAGCAACAAATAGTTCTTGCTGACAATTTGCGCATTCAGCTGCAAACTCCCATATTTCACACCAGTTAATATCGATGTCGTATTTTATTACAGTGTCAATATCGCGGCACCGTAAGCAGTACATGTTTATAAAATTAGTTGTAGCTTCATAATATGTTGTTTCAGTAGCATGCACCTATATTATCTTAATTGTAAGAGTATAGTATGTATCGGAATAATCAAAACATGTGCGTATTCGTTATAACACTATTTTGCGTTTTTTATATTTATTAAAAAGTGTATTCAGTATGTTCAATAACTTATGGTATCAAACAACAATGTCAAACGTGTATCCAAATTTGCGGGCGACTTGCCCCCTATTGTATTGGTCATCGGAACGTTACTACCCTGCTACTGTGTATATTCTAATCCACCCACCACTCAGTAGTGCCACACCCCTGTACTTATTTTAATAAAGAGTCGTATTGTAATTTAACATCCTGCAAATCCTTTGAATGACGAGTCGGTAAGACTTAATCGTATAAATCAATGTGTTGTCTTTTTGTTATTTTTTTCATTTAAAAAAAGAGAGACCCAAGAAACACTATCATATAAATTAGTTGTAGAAAACAGGTTTCAAACGACAACTATTCGTTAAATGCGGAAAAATAGTGTCGTACAAAAAAATAATTTTATCGTGATTCAAAATTGTTTTTAGCGTAATTCTTGTATATGTATATGTACAAAAACAGCATGACGATGTTTGGACATCTAGTCTGATCGATTCATACAATGTTATAGTGAACGCACGTTATGAAGATTGACCAGGATATAACTCGTTTGTTTTGTTTGAGTATATCAATATTGACTAAAATAATATTCATTACGTATTTTTAAAGCATATTTGAATAATACTGTTTGTATTTTGAATGTGTAAATTATCTTCTTATACGAAATTCGATGCGCATACATATATAACAGCGACTTGGTGTACAACAGGGTGTTTCGAATCTACAGTACCCTGGTCTGAGATGAGAATGGTTAGAATGTTAGCTGTGACGTTTTTATTGGTCACTTGTATGTCATATTACGTGGCATCTGGTAACACGGCCGGTAAGTTTGTCAAATGTCATTTGCATTTCTTATTTTTTTTCAGCGTGTTTATTGTAATCGTGTAACAGGCTAACAATTTATAACAATGAGTTTTGAACGTAACTGCAAACTATAATCAAACCCCGTAATTTCAATCTCAAGCATCCATTACTGGTTATAATGATGTAAAAGTCTTAACGTTTTTAAAAAGATTTTTCCCCTCTCTTTGACAGTCTTCTCTTATCGAAGTTGCTCCTGCTGGAGGTATGAGGTATATTGCAGAAATGAAGACTCCAACTGGGCATGGGCTAAGAACGAGTGTGAAAGCCTTGGAGGATGGTTAGCCACAATTGACCGGAAGAGGACGCACCAAGAAATATGAAAGCTGATCCGTGAAAAGACAGACACGAGGAAGTGTCACAACTATGGATTCTGGGTCGGGTATCACGACGACGCAGACCCCAAAAAATATCGTCACAAGAACAAACCGCATCTGTTCACATGGTTGCATGATCAGTGTGAAACATTTGAGGTATGGGAGAAGAACCAACCCAACGATAACATCAGCGAAAGTGAAGAGGGGCAGAATTGTGTACAGTTGTGGTAAGAAATAACAACGAAGCATTTGGTGACTTATTTACCACACCCACCATACGTAACTTAACTTTTTCTGACTTACGGTTCGCTCCGTCGTGAATTTAACACGCCAGTAATAAGCATTGATTCGCAATTTACCAGTATGGAAGTACAATGTTTTTCCACAAATGAAGGCCCCGCAAATAAATAGTACTGATATAATCGCAACTTTACTTAGCATTGTGCAACTTCGAAACGTTCTACGACACAGCGTTCCTCTTTCGCACAGCAGCAAGACACACACAGTTACCAGCGGTAACTATATCGACAAATCGATATACAGTTTTAGTAATTTTAATTCGTACAGGGTCGACAACATTATAATATGTTCGAGCGTACATTACAATGACAGAATCATGTCATATATTCAAAAAATACACATGCAATCTTTTTGATAACATCGCCGTCTTATGTTGTTTTCGCTATAGGTATAGACCAACAAAGAATGGTAACTTTGATGATGAGTATTGTTACGAAAAGAAAGGATATGTGTGTCAATTTCCAGAAGGTAATAATGAAAAATTAACACGAGACAATACGTAGGATTGTTACACCTTCGTTGAGATCGTTCAGAACATCCGTTAATTTGAAAGGTGGAACTTCATTGGTCGGTTTTTTGACCATATGCATCATACTTCATTTGTTATAACACAATCTTCCTGCGTAAAATTACATGTAATTCCATACAACACTTTATATTGCTTTTTATTTGGTTTTCCTAAAGCATTCGTTTGGATTGGTATAGTTTAAAGTTAAAACACATGTTTACGGTAGACGGAAATTCAGGGCGATTCGTGAGAGATGTTACTGAACTATATTTTTGTAATCAGTTTTCATATTCATACTACTAACGTCACTTTGTAAGCGTCGATCGTATGTTGGTGATCGCCTATCTAGGTACTGACTTTACATAGGAGTATAACAACGCCAGGAGACCAATTTGTTCGATAATATTTTGCTTCCAGAAAAAACAAATTTCAATCGTTTGGTGGCGCAGTCGGTTTTAATGTTTCTACATAACTCGTATCGCAACGGAACGTTTATATACCATCGTATGTTAGCATTGAATACTGACATATATAGAGCCCCTGTGTTTAATAACCAATATATCGCCTGTATTCGTTTTTGTTTTGTTGTTTTCAGAATGCAGTTGCGCTTGAGTACATCCGTACCATGCCAACGTCCGACAGTACAGTGAATACACCGACCAACGCTATTTGTGCTTGCACCGTCTGATATAAATACTCGACATATATTGTTTTATTATATGTTATTCTAATTATTACATGGGTACTTTTTTACATGGGTACATTTTTGTTTTGCTTCCTGGTGCAATAAATATGCAAATTACATTCCAAATAATATTTATCTCTATTGTCTTGTATTATATTGCATCCTGTTTTACCGGGAATTTGCATAATCTCTCAATTTGGAGCTATAACAATATTAATTTGCATTAACATTTATTAACATTTGCGTTATTCTATTGTTTAAGGGCCCCTTAGCTCCTGAAATAAAACAGTATACTTGACAAAATTAATCCTTAGGTTTTCTTTTGAGTTTGTATTTAAGAACAAACATGCGCATTCTAAATAGCAAAGGTTTTTTCAGGCTTCTTGTTGACTTTGGTGTAGGTCATCAATTGTACTGATTCTAAATTCCACCTCATGAAATTTCACCAAAAATTTGGTGTAAACTTTATTCGCACGTCAAGTTTTTTTCAAGTTTCAGATCGCTGAACCGTTAACGTAACGCGACAGTCTAGCTCTCGTGCCTTGAGTCATATGATTGAATAGTGGTGACTTATCACATCTCCATCCAAACCTACTGTGCTGTGCTGTGCTGTGCTGTATGGCGTCGTATTCCTGCCAAAATTAGGATATGCGATGTTATCGTATGTTATGCCATTTGACACAACAACATGACAATCTGCGATACGAGATTTCGGTATTTATAATGCAATTTCACAATGTTATATTCGAGTATTTGTATTACCATACCACAATACGAACAATGCAAAAATGTCATCCACTTTTTTTATCATCGGCTCAATTTTTAATAAATTAGCTTTAGAAAATTTTGCCGGGTACTTTATGGATTTTAATGATTTTAAATGCCTGCTTATCACACTTCACTCCAGATTGTTGTTTTGTTTTTTTCCACGTTCATTATTTCTTAAGTTCGTGGTCGTGTTTTATAACTTGGTCGCTGTGTTGCAAGTGTCGAGCCGTGTGTACGCCACTCCGCTTAATCTTCGACTTAGACTTGCATACAGTCTCCTGAATGTTTGTTTGTTTTCTATAAAATAAAATGTCTGCAAACGTCGAGAAAATGAAACTAACATTGTTTAAACTATCATAGTTCTCGCAAACAATTCTCACGGACCGTAACCGAAACTGTAATCGTGGTTTGCATTATTCCAATATAGTATGAATAGCGAAATGAATCTCGTCGCCGCTGCTGAAGATCGCGTTCCGTCATTTTCTGAACTTGCACTTTTATAAGAGACACCAGTGAAGATACACTGATAACAACGGCCATTGAATGCTCATTGAAAACCTGTAAAAATGTTTGTCCAGTTAGAAAGGCGCAATTTGGAATTTTCGCTATAGTTGGGTGCACACACAAAAACGATGCGACAAGAAGTGTACGCACCGACAACCTCTCGTTACTAAACGTGAAAGGTAGATAGCGTATTATCTTTAGTGCACCTTCGACGCTGTCTTGCAATGTCGTCATAACAATAATTGGGGCGAAAGGAATGTTTGTTTACGAAAATTTTACTTTAATTATGACATTAACGCTCACAGGTGGAATATTATTGAACCCCATACCAGTGAAAATCAGGGCGTCTGTAAGGCCAGACTTTTATTATCTCTTGTTTCGCGAACCCGCCGAATGAAGAAGGGCAAAAATGAAATAAAAATAACATTTCATTTCAGCGTAATTTCTCGCGCCCGCCGACTTTTAAGCGCGAAAAATTGCTAAATTATTTTATTAATATTATTTTTATCTTCATTTTTTTACCGCCCGCCGCATAACAAATCCTAGCTGCATTTTCGTGAGAGTATCATGCTCAAAGTACCGA